ATTACGAAGACATTATGTGCATGCACAATGTCTAAATAAAACCAGTTAAGGCTATCTTTTTTTATCACAACCATACACAAAGACCTTACTTTCTTTAATTCTCAATGGTTAATCATACTTTTATACTCTCTGTTAGAGTGTCATCCCACATCGGAAGTTCAAGAGCAAAATAATCGGTATATAAGCTCTTGAGTTGAACTAACTAATCGATTGGATTCAATCTTTTAATGTGGTTCAGCCCAAGTATCTTATAGCCACATCCAGTTGTCCATACTCATCCCAAATTCTATTACTCTCCCTATCAGTAATTGAAAGTAATCAATAAATTAAAGTATTTACAAACCCTAGATAAGGCCTCACCAGCATAGTTGTATGGTTAACGACGGATTATTAATCTTTGTGCTCGAAGCAAGTCGCCATTAAATCTCCTGCCTTCCTCAACTTTGCTTCTCCAAATTTCTTCAAAGCAGATCTAAGTACTTCACCTTGAATGAAATTACCTAAATTTTGATTCAAATAAAAGATTGAAGTGCATGTAATGAACGATATAGACCTTGTTAAAGGAGATCTGGTTATACTATGTAATTGGTATTTGGGTTTCTTCCTTTTCAGCCGCCGTAAAATAAGCTTGCAATTTGGGATTGAGTTTTTTATTTGTTTCTTTGGAAATAAAAAAGGGATTTGGGATTATTGCTACGGAGTATTAAATAGATCGTAGGGTTAATTTTGTCCTTTGCCCTCATGAAACATAATCCCAATAGGACTAGTCCTATTTAAGGAAAACTACTATGTTTTCGTCCTATTTGAGTAATTTACTCTTTCAAAAATATATCATTCCTTTTTATGTTGTTTAGGTCAATATTGTCACTCCTTTAATTTCTATTGTTTTTATTTCTATTATTTTCCATTAATATTTAAAAATAACATTCATATGTATCAAAACTATATATCAAATAAAAAAAATTTTAGTTTTATTTTACTACGAATTAAGTATTTTCTAATGTTTATTTCATTTTTCTAAACAAATTTCTTTCTTTCAAGTTGTATCATTTCACAAAAAAAAATTGTATTTATAAAAGACTCAAAAAGTGTTGAGAAAAAGAAACATTTTTTTTAGTTTTTTAACTTTTCAAAATTTTCCATATTATTCTATTTTACGTATTTACCTTTTTTAAAAATATTTTTAAAAGTTAATTCCTTGCGTCATGTACCAAAAAATTGTTCAATATGTTTGGTACAAAAATTCTTTGGAAATTGTATAGTTTACCCCTGAACATTAAAAAATGCATTGTTTACCCCCGAACTCTTTAGAAATTTTATTGTTTACTCATAAACATTAAAAAGTAAACCAATTATGCCTGAACAATTTAAAATGATGCACACTTGCATTATTTAGAGTACAAGGTACTTGGCAAGATAATATGCAAGTCATCCAAGTTTTTTGTAGTATATAGGGAAGATGATATTGCATTATTTCTCAATGTCAATCATAATGTGAATTACAAAATTTCATAACTTTTTAAGGAGCACAACATGCATGACTGCACTGTAGCGCAGATGTAAGTCAGACTTTGCCATCAAAGATAGCTTCAAATTGTCTCCTTGTCAAAATATTCTTCTCACGGCGGTTGGAACTTGACGATCAAGATGTCATGGTCAAAGATATGATCTAGATCGATTGATGAACAATGACAATATCTAGGGTTGGGTTAAATAAAGAAGATAATTTTGGGGGAGGATGCTTTGGAGAATTCACAAGGGGCAGGTAAATCATATTCGCAATTCTCCTTTGTGAAAGCAACACACTCCCTATTTAGCTGATGGGCTATTGGGCCACCGGTTAGGCCCAACCCAAGACACCATAGTAAAATGAATTTAGTCCCTACGATCTATGAAACACCCATCTACACCAAGGAATAGTCCATCAGAATTAGGCTGGTTTGCTAGTTAAACCCGTTGGAGGTAATCCCGATATTTTCATGATTGTCCACGTACAAATAACAACTATGGCACAATTGTGTGGATGGATACCAAAGGTGGGAGAGAACCAAGTCACAATTGGGTTACCTTATTCATTACTTCCCATATATTTACCACATAGAATCGCTATAAATAGGGAAAAAGCCATTATAATCCCCGAGTTAAACATAGCATATGAGTACCATAAGTTTCTGTATTCTCAAGCACTACATAGTTTCATTATTATCATAGTAATTCGATCCGACCTTCTGAGTCAGATCATTTGCTGGAATTCTTTTCCATCAAACTGAGAGCTTGAGATCTCTTGCTCGAGTGAACCTCTTACTCAAACAGAAAAAAGGTGTAGACACGAAGTAGCGCCAATAAGCCCACCGCTAAACCGCACTAGGAGGCTAAGGGCAGCAGGGCCACGAGAGGTTGTCAATTACTGATCTCTATAAAAGAGGGTGAGCTCCTCATTGAATGGATCAGCATCACTACCGAATAATTTAAGGAGGTCGTTGTTGCCCTTACCCCTCATAGGGACACGACGTTGTAAGCAGAGCCCCTATAACTGGTGACATAACACCTGAATGTTAGGCGGGAGAAAGAAGAAGATGTGGCAGTCCTAGAAGAAGAAGGCGATTAAGGCCAACATGAAGTCACCCATGATTGAGGACCTGTCACCGCACCTGTCGATGGCGAAGGTGAGTCCTCATCATACGAGTGCATCTCCGCCTTTGAGCGACCGGAGAGCCCCACACAAAAGACATGTAGAGTCTCCACGTTTGAACGGCTGAACAATGGGCAGTCATCCCGAAAGGAGAACCTGAGGGTAAACATAAAAAATCTACAAGGTGAGTCCTCAGCAACATCTCGTGCCCGACCACAGATGCGGAAGCGAGCGACCACCTCTGTCCAAAAAGAACAAAAGGTGGACAATATATGGATGATAGTGGGAATTTGAAGAAGTGGGTGGACGCCAAGAACTCGAATTTCCAGGCCATTTTAGACGAGATAATCCCTTTTCTCAATGATTAATGTCATGCGCCATCCTCGTGAATTTCAAAGTACCATAGGTCAAGGTGTACAATAGTGCGACCGATCCCCAGGATCACCTATCCCAATTCTGTGCTAATATGGATCGGTCATGCTGGCCTACCCAGGGGCCAGGGGAGATCAATTATCATTGTTTGAAAGAATTGTTTAGGATGAAAATCTCTCGTATGATTTCTGTGTAAATATACATTCATGAGGGTTACATATATAGTGTAGAGTCCTAGGTAATAAAGGAAACTCAATCATCTCTATACAAGGAAACTAAATCATCACTATACAAGGAAACTACTAAAATAATATATACGAAAATATCTCCCAAATCTTCTCAATCTTCTCTTTCCTTTTACACCCCCCCCCCCCCTCAAGTTGGAGCATGTAACGAAGTAATGCCCAACTTGGGTATAAGAAACTCCAGTCGTGACTTCCCAAGAGCCTTCGTGTGAATATCTGCAAGCTGGTGCATAGTAGGAACATGAAGAGCACGAATCTCTCCGCGTAATAACTCATCACGAACGAAATGACAATCTATCTCGATATGCTTCGTTTGTTTGTGGAAAACTGGATTAGCGGCAATGTGGAGTGCCGTTGTACTATCACAGCGAACCGTCATAGGGTCCGTATGCTCAATTCCCAAACATCGTAATAAATTCTTCAACCACTTCAACTCACAAGTAAGAACAGCAAGAGCCCTGTACTCAGCTTCAGCAGACGAACGTGCCACTGTTGTCTGCATCCTTGTCTTCCACGAGACCGGCGACTCGCCAAGTTGTACAAACCATCCCGTCAGCGACCGCCGTGTCAAAGGACATGCTGCCCAGTCCGAATCACACCACCCGGTGAGCTGAAGGCTACTATCTGCAGACAGGAAAATGCCCTGTCCAGGACATCCTTTTAAATAACGAACTACCCCAAGGGCCGCAGTCCAATGATCCTCCCTTGGTTCCTTCAGAAATTGTGCTAAAGTATGCACGGCATAAGAAAGCTCTGGTCGTGTAACAGAAAGATAGACCAATCGTCCTACCAACCGTCGATAAGGTTCTGGATCTGCAAGAACTGGGGCTTGAGAACGAGCCAGATGATGATTGGGCTCCATTGGGGCACCCAATGGCCTGGCGCCCAACAACCCCGCCTCAGTAATGATGTCCAAAGCATATTTTCTTTGACAAAGGAAAATTCCAGATGTGCTCCGTGCTACCTCGATGCCAAGAAAGAACTTCAAAGTCCCCAAATCCTTCATACGAAAACAATCTGCCAAATAATCCTTGAATTTGCATATCATCTCGGTGCTATCACCAGCAATGATCAAGTCATCTACATAAACCAGAACATGGATCACTCCTTTATTTCCAATGAAAGAGAATAAGGAGTAATCAGAGACGGACTGCACAAATCCATATCTTCGTAATGCTCCCGATAATTTTGCAAACCAACATCGTGGAGCCTGTTTCAAGCCATAAAGGGACTTCTTGAGTTTACACACCATATCAGATGAACTCGAGAAGCCAGGCGGCAACCTCATATACACCTCATCGTGAAGATCTCCATGTAGGAATGCATTGTGAACATCCATCTGGTGCAATTCCCACCCTTTGACCGCCGCAACTGCCAAAAGTGTTCTCACAGTAGTCAACTTGACTACAGGAGCAAATGTTTCTTTGTAATTGATGCCTTCAATCTGGTGATTACCGAGTATAACAAGCCTAGCCTTGTACCTTTCCACGCTACCATCAGATTTGCGTTTGATTTTATACACCCACTTGCACCCAAGAGCCTTTTTATGACGCGGAGGAGGAACAAGAGACCACGTCGCATTAGCCTCCAGAGCATCAATTTCTTCTCGCATTGCTTTCCTCCATCTCTCATCCCGGAATGCTTGTTTGAAATTTTTGGGCTCGATGTCTTTATCAAGTGCCATGAGAAAACACTTATGTTTCTCAGAAAACTTCTCATAAGTAACATAGGAGGAGAGCGGATATTTTCACTTTCCCTCAGTAAGTGGACAGGCCACATGTGTGACATAGTCCGCAAGCCTCACATTTGGCCTCCTTTCCCGTTGACCACGCCCCAAGGTTTCTGTTGGTTGTTGGGATGAGGACGGTCGACCACCATCCGTGGAACGGTCCACGGGATCGACCGTCTGTGATGGTTCCTCACTGCCTCCTTTCTGCCTTGGGGACGGTCGACCGTTGTTGTCATCACGGTCGACCGTTTCTTCATCTCCCTGAAGTCTGTCTCTCTGCCCCCGCGGACGGTCCACCGTGTCTCTCAGAACGGTCCACCGAGTCGACCGTTGGTTGATCTCCCAGGGTTCCACCTTTCTGCCTCGATGGCGGTCGACCGTGGACATCAGAACGGTCCATCGGGTCGACCGCCGGTAGCTCAGCTGCTTTTCCACCTTCTTCCGGCTGACCGTTCCTCCGTGGACGGTCCAGCTGCTCCTCCACCAGTACTTCATCATCATCAGCATAATGATCAACTGGTGCGGGACTACTTGATCCATCGTCTTCTAATGTTTCACCTGTAGTCATCAAATAAGGAAATATGTTTTCACAAAACACAACATCTCGCGATACGCTTATTTTCCCAGTGTCTGGAAAATATACACGCCATCCCTTCTTTCCTTGTGGATAACCCAAAAAAATTCCAGGAATACTTCTGGGCGCAAATTTATCCCCATCTCTCTTTAAATTATGTACATAACATCTGCAACCAAAAATGCGAATATGAGTCAGTGCAGGGGCCCTTCCATAAAGTTTTTCATACGGCGTAACCCCCCCTAAAAGAGACGAGGGTGTTCGGTTGATTAAATATGCCGTCGTTTGTATGCATTCTCCCCAGAAATCGATCGGAAGCCCTGCCTGAAATCTCAAAGCACGACTCACATTCAAGATATGTCGATGTTTACGTTCAACTCTACCATTCTGCTGTGGAGTAGACACACAAGATGTCTCATGAATAATTCCTTTTTCAAGAAAATATTCTGTCAAGCATTCAAATTCTGTACCATTATCACTTCGAACACACTTTATCCTCTTCCCAAACTGACATTCAACCATGGCACAAAATTGCTTAAAAACACCTCCTACGGTACGCTTAGAATCAAGTAAATATACCCACACACCCCGTGAAAAGTCATCAACGATAGTCAAAAACATTGTAGAACCATCCAAACTTGGTGTCCGATAAGGACCCCACAAATCACAATGCACCACATCAAATTTATCCATAGATTGATGAAAACTGATAGGAAAACTAGCACGAGTTTGTTTAGCACGCAAGCAAACATCACAATGACTATGACTATGTTTATTCAAACCAACTACAGGAACTAAGGACAAAACATGTGAAGAAGGATGTCCTAAACGTTTGTGCCAGAGATCAAACGAATTCTGCTTGGCAGCACTGCACACCATGCTCCTCTCCTCCTTCTTCAAATAGTACAATCCTCCTTCAAGTCTACCCACACCAATCGTTGTCTTCAAACTTAGGTCCTGTAAGATGCACAAATTATTGGTAAACTTTGCCTCACAGTTCAAATCTCTTGTCAACTGTGACACAGAAATCAAATGACAGTTCAATGTTGGAACAAACAACACATTCTGCAAAGTCATAGTCATAGTCAAGTCAACCTTTCCAGATTGAGCGGACACAACCCTTTTTCCATCGGGTAATCCAATTTCACATGGAGACACACCCACCACATCATATAATAGTGAAAGATCACCTGTCATATGATTCGACACACCAGTATCGATTATCCAACGAGGTGACACAGGAATACCTGAGAGTTTTGGTGAGTTGTCTGTTGGGGAGAGCAAGAGGGCGTGACGAACAGCATTCCACTGTTCTGGCGTCAAGTCCTCAAAATTTGGCAGCGGAGATGGTCCTTTTTCTTCTCCTTGGACAGCGTGAGCTTCACCTCGTCCGCCCGTGACGGTCGACCGTCCAGCTACCACGGTCGACCGTCCGCCGCCCCGTGTAGTCCCACGGCCTCTTCCTCGACCGTTTCCTCTTCCTCTTCCGGCCTGATCGCGGAATACCCAACCTTCGGGGTATCCAATCAGCTTGTAGCATGCCTGTAACACCCCAACCCGCATGACCCAAACCCGTGAGACAGCGGACCGGGTGCCACTAGATTGGTATCCGAATTTGCGACATTTTCAAAACAATTTTAAACAAACGTTCTATCAATACATATAAAAATCCATCGGAGTAATTTAAAATAATGCGGAAGCCTTTTTAAAGTCAAACAACTTGGGATCTTGCCCGAAAACGTAATAAGCATTAAAGTTAATTAAATAAAGCATAATCAACAGATTAAAGAGACAGCCACGCCATCGTACATCTCCTCCTCAATGCCCTCTGGGATCGGCTCTAGGTTCATCTGTCTGATCACCTACGGACAGCAAAAGAAAACAACGCTATCCGCTCAGCATTGACGCTGAGTGGTACTCCATTGTAGCACAAGAATAAACATAATAATTCAACAATTAAGATCGTGCATATGTTTATCCTTTTAATAAAAATCAATTCAACTTTACATTCGGTTCTTTAGACGGTTGACCAACAGTCAACTTATTTTCTTTCTTTTCAAAATGATTTAGGTGTT